CGTTTCCCAGCCAGGCTGTGCAGGCAGCAGTGGCGTGGGGCAGCCCCCCAGCTTGGCTGCCTTCCCCAGACCCCTCCCCAGTACCCCATGTCCCTCCCCATCGCCTGCCCTGCGTGGTGCCTTCCCCAGGTGGTCAGTATGGTTTTCCCAGCCCTTTTTTCTTCATCCGACCGTGCTCTGTAAGCCAATTTCTCCTCTTGGGTCCACTCCACTTTCCCCAGTGAGGATTACAAGCGGCACTTCGCCCCTCGGGACCTGCTGGTGTTTTCGGCTCACCCCCTCCTGGTTTATCCCACCCACTATGCTGGGGAGAGCAACTGGCTGAGTGACACTGAGACCTCCACCATCTGGGACGATGATACCAAGAAGACCGACTGGGCTGGCTCGCAGAAGACCCTGAGGGATTCACGGGGCAGTGCCAGCCACCTCCGCTCCACCGCCCGCGACGAGCTCTGATGGTGAGTGAGGCTGTGGGACCCAGGCGTGTGGTGCCAGGGACAGGGCGCCTGGGAAGCATCTCCCTGCGAGCGCCATGTTCGGATGTGTTCCGGGTGCCCAGTTTCTTTTTGCCATGTGGCAGCAGCTCTTCTCATCAGACTCAAAGCATTGGGAAATGGAGAGAAGACCTTCTCTTCCAGGCTGGGAAAGGGATGGGGACGCAGATGTCCCATGTGGGGCTGCACTGGGCTGCAGAGGACCAGGAGACGGGGTCCTGCTGCTCCGCGGCCCCTCAAGCGAGGAAGGGACAACGCTCCTTCACTTCCTGCAAAAGTCACCCTAGTTTGGCAAGAGCCAGAGGCGTCCTGCAGGGAAAAGTTTCAAACCCTGGCACTGCTTGCAGCCCCCAAAAGCATGTCTCCCTGGGGCTGTGTGTCTGCAGGCAGGTGAGCACCCGCGCTCGCTCGACCCGAGGTGGCACAGCCACAGTTGACGCCAGGTCAGACTTTCCCTGTCTGAAGTTGCTTGTGCTGGCAGCGGAGCCTCCCCCCGAGCCGCCCGACTGG